CATGGTGTGTCAGCAGGTGGAGGTGGAGCATCAAAAACCCGGAAGATTACTACAGTCCTTACCTATCCCATAGTAGAAAGAAGGATCACATCACCATGGATTTTGTGTCTGGTTTACTACGGACGTCATGAGGGCATAATGTCATATGGTCATTGTAGATAGAATCATCAAGTTCACTCATTTCTTAAGTATGAAGACCACTGACAGTTTAGAAATCTTGAGCAAACTTTATATTTGTGAAATTGTTAGATTACATGGAGTTCCACTCTCTATTGTGTCAAATCGTGATTCTAGTTTTGTGGCGCAATTTTGGCAAAGTCTATAATGAGTTATGGGGATAGAGTTGCACTTTAGCATCGTCTTTCGTCCTCAAATAGATGGCCAATTGAAGAGGGTGATACAAATTTGGAGGACATGTTACGATCTTGTGTGTTGGACTTCAAAGGAAGTTGGAGTGATCATTTGTCGTTGGTGAAATTTTCATATAACAATAGTTTTCAATCTAGCATTGGCATGCACCTTATGAGGTATTGCATGGGAGACCATGTAGATCCCTAACTTGTTGGTTAGAAGCTGGAGAGAGTAGTCTGTTTGGGCCAAAAATTGTTCGGGAGACTATTGAGAAAATTCAACTAATTACGGAAAGACTAGGCACAACACAAAGTAGACAGAAAAACTATGCAGATAAAAGAAGAAGACCATTGGAATTCCAAAAAGGGGACTATGTGTTCCTCAAGGTGTCACCCAAGAAGGGAGTGTTTATATTTGGCAAGAAGGAAAAATTAGCCCCAAGATATACCAGACTATTTGAAGTGATCAAAGCAGTGGGCAAAATGGCATATCAACTTTGATTACCAGCCCAATTGTTAGTGGTACATGACATATTTCATGTGTCAATGTTAAGAAAGTGCAATTTCGATACAACGCATGTCATGGATTTAGAAGGAATTGAAATTCAAGATGGAGTAACCAATGAGGAACAACAAGTGAAGATTCTTTGATACCAAGGAGAAGGTGCTTCGCAATAAAGTAATCCAATTGGTGAAGGTTCAGTGGCAATATCAAGGGGTGGAGGAAGCTACCTGAGAACCGAGTTCGAGATGTGAGAGAAGTATCCTCATTTGATCTCTATACAAGGTAAGTTTTGAGAATGAAACATTCTTTAAGGGGGTGGATGGTAAACTCTCACATGTTTATATTAATATAGTAATGTAATTGTTTAATAATTCTTTTATGTGTAATGATGTAAGAATGAACCATATAGATTGTAACAATAGGAATAAATACTAGGGAGACAAATTGATTGTGAAGTTTAAGTTTTGAAGGCATTTAAGCTTAGGAAGGGTTGTTAGATAAGTTTCTAAATATTTTTAGGTCAAAATAAGATTTCCATTGAATTCGGAAGATTGAAAAACCTTGAGAGAGGTAATATGGGGTGTATTAGAAGTTAGAAAGTATCCCGGAGTTTAAACACATTTTAGAAAAAATTCGGATAGAAAGGAATTTGACACTACCTTAGTATGTTACCTTTAATTTTTTACTCCTAACTCCTATTGATCTCATTTTTGGACAATAGAAATTGCACTTCAAGGGCTACAAAAGTGTATGTCACAAAAATTTTTGAATTGGCTTCTAAATAGGTTAAAATTGATCTGAAAGTTGAGGATATACTGTCACCCACGTCCGGACGGGAATAGACACATGTTCGGACGAGTTTAGTAGAAAGTTGGGCGAAGAAACATGCGTCCAGACGCACCAAATCGAGGGCTGTCCCAGATCTATTTTGGGTGTTCTCTCCAATTTTTCCACTATAAATACCCATGGAGCACTCCTTAGGCTCAGTTTCATCAATTCTAACCACTAAAGAGCCTTGGATAGTAAGAAAGAAGGGGAGAAACACAAGATTGAAGGGGATCTTCGCATTAGATCGGATCAAAATCTCTAATTTTTCACACAACACTAAGGAAGCAAGGTAGGGGTTTCTTCTCACTCTTGTTCATTGAGGCTAGGGCTAAGAAATTCTGGTTCCTTGATGTTCATGCAAACCTTATCATGTTTGAATAAAGTTAGGGTTTGATAGCCTAAAGTTCTTGTTCTTGATACCAAAACTCTAGTTTTTGAGAAATATGGATTTTTTCTTCTTGATATTCCTTTGCTCTTAATTTCAAAACTCTAGTACTTTGTTTGAACAATAAAAATATATGCTTGATGATCTTTTGCATATTTTTCTTGAATTGCTCCGTTGGAAAAATACCTATGGAATTGGGAGGTTTTCATTTACTTGTGATTTGATGATTGGTAGTATTGTTTCTCTTGTGTGGATGTTCGGATGAACATAAGTGGTCGTTGACTGAGTGTCATAGAGTGGATAGATACGTTTCTTACTCCGTGTGGGTTTGAAGGTTCCCTACCACTCGTAGTGGGGTTGGCGTCTTGTGAGGATTAAACCACTATTCGCTCACATGGTATCGAAGTTGAGGGTTAGTATACTATTCCTGGGTTGGATCGTCAATGCCGATGTGTCGGTATACATCCTTCCTAAAATTGTATATCCTTGCGAGGATTGGGTGTATGTGTGTGGGCCAGAATATTCTCAATGTATGTATTCATGTGAAGTCTTACTTCCTACATGAGATACAGATACATAATGTGGATAATGGTACAATGTGGTTAATAGTACATTGTGGGGAATGATACAAGAAATTGTTGGAAATGGTTGATATTGGAATGGTTTGTGATTTGAAAATTAGTTTTACTTCTTCATTTTATATATTGATATTGCGTAAACTTGAGATCAGATGAACTGTCACTGTTTTCTTTCAAAATTCGTATATGATATTTGTAAAATGAGACCTGCAGGCTTTATATATTTTCGAAACTTTGTTCAAGTTTGGGAAGATTTTCCTACAGAAGTTAGTGCTCACCCCTTACAATCCATATTTATTTTCAGATTCGGTTTAGAGGAAGAGCTCAGATTTGATGAACAGGTAGCTTGGGAAGCTTAATTGGATGGAAGCGTGGGTCTTAAAGGGGATGTCTAGAGTTGTTATCTTTATGTCCTAGACTAGAAGATGCATTTTGAGACAATGTATGGATGATAATTTTTTTATTCCGCTACGAGATAAAATTTGATTTGTAGATATAATTGTCATAGTTGACATATTCTTTTGGATGTAATGGTCATGGTTTGGCCTATTCTTTTGGATGATGTTGTAGATATTATGTATGATGAATGAAATTTTCTTTATTTATGGATTTTATTAGTTACTCTCATGATGTGAATGGTTTTAGATAGTAATGTCGTCCAAGGTAGATTTTGGGGCGTTACAACCACCGCCACCCTACCACCACTATTGATATCACCCTACCACCACCACGATTATCCCACCATTACCCCTACCGCAACCACCCCCACTGACCCACCACCAATCCCACGACCATCACAACTACCACAACCCCACCACTGTCGCCACATCACCACCATCGTCGTCACCACCACTACCACCCCACCATAACCACCGTCGCCACCCCCACCACTACCACTGTCTCACCATCACCCCCACCACCATCGTCTTCTCTACCAGCCCATCACCACCTTTGTTGCAAACGCCACCACCACTATCGCCACCCACCACCGATTACTATCATTGTCGTCCACCGTCACCACCCACCACCATCATCATCTCATTTTTATATTTATTACTACTACCACCATCATTCCTCTACCATTGTCGCCCACCGTCAACACTCACCACCTCCATTGTTATCCACCACCACCCACCGTCACTCACTACTACCCGTCGTCACCCATCATCATTGTTAGTCATTATCACCCGCCCCTACCACACCTACCACCACTACCCGTCATCGCCCACCATTGTCGTCAACCACTATCAACACACCCCTACCACTCCTACCATAACCACCATTATCGTTGTGCGCCACCACCCATCACACTGTTGCCCAAAAAAGCATATTGTCACCCACTACCACCATCGTCATTACCCACCACCACCGTCGTTACCCCACCTCCACCACCGCCACCGCCATCGCCGTCATTCATGGCTACCACTACCACCGTCACCCAGAAATCACCACCACCATCACTGTTGCCACTCACCACTGCCACCACGACTACGACCATGGTCGTCGCCACGCACCACAATCATCACTATCTTCCACCATCACTACCACTGCTCAACCCCACTACAATTAGTGCTTAAATTTATTTCTCTCTCCTCTATATTTGTGATTTTATTTTGAGTGTGAATAAAATTATGTTTAATGTTGACTATTTTTTTATTATTTTGTGTCTTTATGTATAAGCAATAACTAATGTATATATATATAATATATATTATTAAATATATTACCTTATGCAATGACAAAATTGTCCTTTTGACTTCCTCACATGCTGCTCACGTGCTCTTTTTGGTCAATGTTTTGGATAACAATTAGAGATAAGGATCAATATTAGTCAATGTGTCAATATGAATAAAGAAATTGACAAAATTAAAATTTTAAAGATGAATGTACAATAAATGACAAATCTCAAGTACTGACAGTACAATTTATCTTTCATAAAAATTTGAGCATCTAGGGTGCTAGCTGATAAGTATTAATTTAAGAGGAATGCTACATGAATTTAAAAATTAGACTTGATAATCTCAACTATTGATTTCATTGTGGGTCCTAACATTTATTGAGATTCGCTACCTATTCAATAGTTGAAATTATCGAGTCTAATTTTTAAATTTATCTAACATTACTCTTAATTTAATGCATAAAATTTGAGTGTCTAGGAATCACTTTGGACTCGATTTAATTTAGCTTGAATCACAAATGAACTTTAAAAATAATAATATCATGTTGACCAATATTTTTTATCATATTTTTTATCTCAAATAACCATCAAATAAGAGTCATATTCAATTGATTCGAATAATTAAAAATGAATCGAAATCGGGCCGCGGCCAATTAACTCTGATTTTTTAACGGCCCTAGTTGGAACCGGCGCCTTTGACTGAAAAAAACCAGAGCCCGTATACAGATGTTCGAGCGGAATCTCTTCAACAAACTGCCGAGGAAAAGAAATAGCGAAATGGGAGACGAAGAAGAAGAAGAAGATCGTACTCAGAAGCAGAAGAGCTCATTCGTGATAAAAATACCGTCTTACGAAGAAGTAATCGAGAGCTCTCAATCCAAAATAGCACCGTCTCTCTTCAACCCATCACCTTCATTCTCTCAAGCCTTCAATTTCATCAAGAACTCGGAGTTCTACACTCCTCCTCCTCCGCCGCCAGCCCCATCCTCCTCCTCTTCGCAACCCACACAGACCACTGCTTCAACGTATCAAATCAATTCTATTCTCTCTCTTCCTCTCTGTAAATGCGTGCTTGTGCGTGTGTATGTTGCGTTTTTGATTGGTAAATTGGGTAAATGAGGGTTTGTTTATTTATTTTTTGCGTTAGGCAAATTGGACAATCGGAGGTTCTGCCTTCATCAACGTCGTCGTTTTCAGCTCACTCTGTTACTTCTACATCGTCTGGGCAAACTGCCCCAAGTCGCAATGCAATTCTTGTAAGCCATAGACAGGTGCGGTTTGTTATATATACACATAAAATTTAATAAAATTTGAAAAATGGCTGCTTGTATGGTTTGATTCTTTCAGCTGAGTATTAGTTTAGTGTTCTATAATCATGAACTTGTTTTGGTGCATGTATTGTTGATCTTGATTTCACGGGTCATATAATTTTGACTTTTCTATTCATATTTATGCTCAGTTCAGTTGTATCGTAGTGTTGGAATAACTGATTGCTTACACTTCGAGTCATTAGAATAATAAATGCTATTTTAAAAAAAAAAATAACACTACAATATCATATGCATTTTATGGGATCGACATGGAAATTTTTCTCAATGGGCAGAATGTGGTACAAGATTTGAGTTTAAACGCCAATTGCTGAATAGATAGACAACTAGATTTGTCCTATTAACAAGAAGCCCTTTAAAAAGTCGTTGGTCGGAGACACGAATCTGTGTTCTTAACAAGCAGCCCATTAAAAAGTCATTTGTCTGAAACTCGAATCTGCATTCTCTAGCGTCATAGTTTGAGCTGTAATTACCTGTCCATTAATCATAAGGGAGGTAGAAATTGGCTCTCGGCTAAAAGTAGCTTATATTACTATTTCTTATTGAAAAACATATGTTATTTCTCATATATATTTCGGTTAGAAATACAGACTAACCTGTCAAGGACTAAAGGAGGAGTAACTGGACCAGCTCTAGATTCAGTTGAACCAGCAACAGATACTTGGCTGGAATGGATACCTTACTTGCAGTATCTGATAGGCTTTATCAACAAAAGTATTCATAGTAGAGTCTTTGGTACTTTGGGGTTAGCAGTGATTTGTAAGCAAAATTATTCATGAACATCCCAATGTCCAGAGGCTTTTCAATGCCAAAAAAAAAAAAAAAGGTTAATAAGCACACCAAACAATTAATGCCGCTTCTGTTAACTGTCTTGATTAATTTCCTTTTTATCTTTAATTCTCTTACAGAAGGGAAATCCTTTGCTAAAACATATAAGGAACGTGAGATGGGCTTTTGCAGATGTTATATGTGATTACATGTTGGGCCAGAATTCCTGTGCTCTTTATCTCAGGTTTGGGTTTTTTATTTTCTGTTACATTCTTTTGTGTTATTTGCAGTCGCTTTGCGCTTCCAGTAGGTTTGGGTAAGGATTACGAGAGCATATCTGTGACTTGTTTGAGAGCAGTACACATAGGTGATGGCTTTGTGTTTGGCTAAACAGATGCCTCATTGGTTCATCACATGAGGTCAATATAGTTGTCCCATTGCCTAACACTAAGAATCTGTGTCTAGGAGAACTATTTAATTTGCAACTGCTTACCCCGTGTTTAGTGGAGTTACTAAACGTAACTTGATATGTCTAACTTTCCAGATTTTGAGGAGACTTGAGAAAGTTTCTGAGAATTGTATTTTCTCCTATTTGGGTGTTTCCATTCTTGAGTTGTGAGAGCATTTGCACATTGTTCACAGTTCACTGACTGACATTACAGATGGACATAATTTGATGCTTAATTACAAAAAAAAATAAATAAAAACTCAACTTAACATTTCCTTCTAAGATACTGAAATTTTGTTGAACCTGGTTTTTCTTTTAACTAGTTTCTCATCAAGAGTTGCATAAATTAGAAATTAGGATCATAAGCATGTTAAGCCCCTTATTCATACCCTTGACTAACTTGAACTTTTTAGTGCAGTCTTCGGTATCATCTGCTTCATCCAGACTACCTGTATTACCGAATAAGGGAATTGCAGAAAAACTTCAAGCTTCGTGTTGTTTTGTGCCATGTTGATGTTGTAAGACCTTGGGCAAATAATAAACTTCTTTTTCACTTTTGGTAGCATTATGTTGAGTAGTTGATGGATATCTCTGGACAGAGCCTTTTTGACATATGTATGGTGAAATTTTGCGGGGTTAGTTTTACTCATTGTTGCAATTGATTTCAGGAAGATGTAATTAAGCCTTTACTTGAAGTCACAAAAACAGCTCTGCTTCATGATTGTACACTTTTATGTGGCTGGAGGTATCTCTAATGCAAATGGATTTCTTGAATATCTAATATATTGCATGCTTTAGGAGTGAGCATTTAGCTCTGCATTATTCTTCACCAGAATCTTATGATTTTCCCTGATCCTTAATGGCATAACTTAAGCATGCTATAGGGATGTCTGATACAGTGTCTGTGGCTTCCTTTACATTTCACTATTTCCTCTAGAAATTCTAATACTGTTGCAATTGGCAAAATAATTATTTAATTAGGAAGATTATCATATTTGGCTTGTGTCTTGCAGTTCTCTTTTTAAGATCCTTATGCAGAATGGTCTCTGTTATAAAATTAGTTTTAAGGTAGGAACAGTTTCATGTCTTGCCTCAGTAGATTAACTTAATTTCTACGTTCTTTTGCTCTAGCTTGGAAGAATGTGGTCGGTACTTGGAGACAATAAAAGTTTATGAAAACAAGCCTGCAGACCTTATTCAGGGCCAGATGGATGCAGACTATCTATCGCGGGTATCTATGTTGCTGAGGTGTTTGACTAATGATTAATGTTCATGCTGGAGAAGTTTATTGGTTGATTACTGAATTAAATATTTCTGATTTTTTGTGAGCACAAATGATCAGATAGGTTTTTCACATTCACAGCTATTTGAGTAGACTTACCTGACATGAACTTTCTTTGACTGCAGCTAACTCATGCTCTTACCTCAGTTCGACATGTTAACAAGACTGATGTGGTCACTCTTGGTTCTACCTTTGGGGTATGTCTGTAGATCTGCAACATGCCATTGCTACTAGTAGTTTTTTGTCCTTTCTGGGATCTGGTCCTGCAATACTGATCTTTTGTTTCATTGCAGTCCCTTTCTTCTACCATGGATGCATCCATGGAGGATCTAGGCCGTTGCCCGGGCATAGGAGAGCGCAAGGTATTTGTCAATGTTCTTATCCATTGCTTTAACAGCTAAAGGTGAATGAGTAACATTTAACCCATGAATATTTTCAATGGAATGATTGTTTTTTTGGCTTGCTATGTCGATATATGTACATAACAACAGATAAGTCAATAAGTGGAGACTTAAAATATTCAAATTGAGATATGTTAAATGATCTGTTATAATACATTTCTGGTTGCATGCACCGTAGGTGCTATCACCCATCTTGTTCACCTCCCTCTAATTTTTGTGACAATTGCAACTTTTTTTTTCCCTTCTGTATGATTCTGTGGTCTCCATCTTAATGATAAATCAGGTAAGACGCTTGTACGACACTTTTCATGAACCATTCAAGCGTGTAATTCAGAACCGCCCACCTGTTCCTGAAACTCCTGTCCAAAACAATTTGGAGACTTTCCCAGTGAGTAAAGAAAAAGAAGACGAGCAGAAAGTGGAGGATGAAAGGAAACGTAGGAAGAAAGAACCAGAATTAACTGTTGAATCAGCTTTATCAGCTGCTTTTGCAAAGTATGGAGGTAAAGTTGGTAGAAAGAACAATAAATTGCAGCCGAAGAAGGGAGGAGAAGAAAGTGATACTGCTGAAAACACATAAAATATGAACTTCAGTGAGGATGCTCCAAGTTGATGTAAAATTCTAACTTAAACCATACTATAGGCAGTACTTCGAAGACTTGAGCACTTGGATGCAATTGGAATACTTGAGCAAAATTTGTTTATGCTTTGGGGTTGCTAATGGAGGGTGGACGAGCTGTTACGGTCTTTACTAAAGCACATGGAAGAGGTGCTTTGTTCTAGGTCCGGCTTTTCTTTTATTTTGTACACTAACTAATTTTATTGCAGTATATTTCGTAACTTGTAAAAATATGTCAGTGGGAATGGAAGCCACATTGTAGCTCTTCACTTGTTCCGGCCGACAAAGTAAAAACAATAATTTTATTTGAATCTGATTTTGTTGGATTATGCTTCGTGTTACTGAGAAATCACTGGTTTGCGATATTTTTGGTAAGGGCTTTGGATCAAGGGTCATAAAGCAGAATGATTTGGCTTTAGATGCTACGGATATTTGAGATGTTTTCTAACCATGCCCTTCATCACCAACATGAGTTGCTTTACTAGATGAAGATTATTAAGTCTTTTAAGATAATGATAACTGGCTCGGGTGGACTTAGGAGAGGTCCGAGGTGGGAAGACTCGGGTCGAAGGACCAAAAGAACTCTGTTCTGGGGCAAATGCAAAGAAACGAGGCTGAGCATCTCGAAGGATGAGCAGGCCTACGTCAACCTCCAGGTGAGATCACAGTCTCTTAAGCATTATTTAAAAAACTTAAGAATTCAGGTAAAGCTATTTCATTGACCTTAAATTTTGCGGTACTTCCATTGTTTAAACTTGTGTAAAAACCGATGATACCCAGAATATGTCAAATGTTGAACTCGGGAGGTCAGCTCATATCTCTCCAGCTGAAGACACATATCCCGCCCTTGATTACTAAGAAGCTCCAAGTCGGAACCTCTTCTCCAACAGCTGCACCTGTACCAGTACAACACAAATGGCAGCTGGCTTCCACCCAAGCATCATGCGAATCGTAACAGTCGAATAATCAGGCGAATGAGTTGCAATTGCCTCAGCACCCATCATTGTCGTTGCACTATAGATGCAACCGTTACAATAGATAGGCAGAAATCACGTCATGGATCAGGCAAGGCCTTGGACCAACTATAAATAATAGGCATGACCCTCTCAACAAAAACACAAGCAATTGTAATCAGAACAATTCTCTGTAATCTCCTTTCTTCATTAATACAAGTCCCAAGAGTAAGAGATTCTCTTAAGAGTGGATTAGCTTGACTCTTCGAGTTGGTGAACTACTATAGACCCTTTGTACTAATCCCCTTTCCTATCTTAATAGCCTAGGAGCACTAACTGAGTCACTCAGTGTCCATCAACTTTCTATCTCTGCTCAATTATGCAACATACATCATCGGTTGGTGCCATCTGTGGAAACGACTGTTCCTGTAAAAAAATTCTACTGATCGTCTTCAGTAATTGATAGTTTCTACGTGCAATATGAGCAAAAGTCAAGTAAACCCCCTATGATTGCATAACCAACAAGAGGCTGCCACTGGAAGGCAACAAAAAAATCCTCGTGATTTCCTGCCTAACCTAGAGGTTGACCCACCCATGGTAAATCCTCTTTTGAATAACGAACTTGCGGCCGTTCGCCTAGCCAATTAACGCCTTCTCTAGCAGAATAAGGAATTAATGAACCTCCTCCAACCCCCCCCCCCCCCCCCCCCAAGGGCATAGCTAGCCAAGGATGGACCCCAACATGGGGAACATCAACTTCTCAATCCCTTGAGGGAAAATACGGAGGAGAATGAGCACAGCAAATCATTCGACTACATATGCTGACGAGCTCAAAAGAATGGAGAAGACGAGGAAGTACAAAGTCAAAACAGGGGGACTCACAAGAACGAGTTTCCCCCACATCAGTAGGGAAAAAAGGAGTAGTTCTGGGAGCAACACTTCAAAGAGATTCAACAATAGCTCAGCCACGTGAAAGAAGTTGTGAGGGGCAAAACCCCTATGTCCATGGACGCATTGGTCTCTCTTTACCACAGAAGTGATACATTTTCCTCTTCCACCAAAGTTCAAAATGTCACAGATAGAAGCCTTTGATGGGATCAGGGATCCCATAGACCACCTCAATACCTATAAGAACTAGATGTCGAGCTTTCACTATCACACTGAAACGCTCAACCTTGGCCTAGTTCAACCGGTTGACCCCAATTTCTATTTCGTCGTTCAAGGAGCTCTCAGTATTGTTTGTCTCGTATTTCATTGGAACTCGGACCTATCGGAAGTCAAGTTACATTTGTTGAATATGAAGCAAGGACCCAACGAGACACTACAAAGCTATGTTCAGAGGTTCAATTCAGAATCTCTTAAAGTGGACGTCCCTGATGAGAGATTTGCCCTCGCCACCTTCATCGATGGACTAGGAGCCCAATCCAAGGACTCAATATTTTCTATCTCCAAGAACCCGCAAGCCATATTGGTTGAGGTCCTTGCCAATGCAGAGAAGTACATTAATGGCAAGGAAGCACTCCTCTCAAAGGCCAGAAGCTCAGGTGTCCACAAGAAGAAAGTGAAAAGGAAAGACCGAAATCCGAAGAAAGAAAGTAGTCGAGAAATGTCTCCACAGAGAGACAGAGATTGCTCCCCAAAAAGAAGAGGAGACATTAGAGACCGCCTGGGGCCCCCACCTCAAGAGTTACAGCCAAGGTACTCCCCAAGGCAGTTCACTACCCTCAACCACACGGTGTCCTAGGTCCTCTACAAGGTACAAATGAAAAGTTCCTAAGATGGCCACACAAAATAGGATACTTCAAAGTACTGTGAGTATCACAGAGACCATGGTCATCAATCTGACGATTACATCCAACTGAAGAAGGAGATCGGGTTCCTAATTCAAAGGGGACAATTGTGCCGCTTCGTAGCACAAGACAATCAAAACAGAGTTCACTCACCCTCAGCACCTCAACAGCAAGCCCCTGTGCAACACCAGCAGCCCTTGGGATAAATTAGGGTGATATCATGAGGGTTTGCTGGAGATAGGAAAATCAGCTTAGCCAAGAAGGCCCATATACGCAAAGTTTGAGCCGAAGATGTATTGGAGGTACAAGTTATGTCCAATACACCATGATTGAACATGGACATAACATTTTTAGATACAAATCTTGAAGGTTTCTAACATTCCCACAATGATCCTTTGGTAGTAAGGGCTATTATCGTCAATAGAACCATCCATCGGGTTCTAATTGATAACAGGAGCTCTGCCAACATCATCTTTGTATTCGCCTTTGACAAGATGAACATTGGAGAGACAAGCTCGAGCTGGTGAGGGCTCACCTTCTTGGATTCTTTGGAGAGAGGGTGCTCCCACTGGCTCAATTCAACTCATCCTCACAATGGGAGACCCTCCTTGCCAATCAAACACCAAAGTGAAATTCTTGGTCATTGATGCTCCATCAGCATACAACAACTTGCCAGGAAGACCTTCCTTCAACGCCATGAGAGCCATTCCTTCTGCCTATCACCTCATAATGAAGTTTCCTATAGAGAATGGCACTGGAGTGGTCCGAGGAGACCAACGAGTGGCAAGAGAATGCTACATGACGTCTGTGAAGAAGAAAGAGGTTGAGACCATACAACTAGATAAACTCGACATGAGACAAGAGCTGGAACCTATCTAGCTCGACGAAGACCCAGGATACTTGGTGTACGTAGGATCAAAACTACTCAAGGAGGTTAAGGTCCTCCATGTTCAAGTTTTGAAAGAGAATATGAAGGTATTCACATGGAAACAGGAGGACATACAGGGGATTAACCCCTTAGTCATCATGCACAAGCTCAATGTGAATCCAACCTTCAAGCCTATCAAGCATAAATGAAGGAGCTTCTGGCGTGATTAACAAGGAGGTCTACAAGCTTTTCCATGCCAAGGCCATTAGGGAGGTGGATTATCCAACCTGATTGGCCAATGTGGTCCTCGTCAAGAAGTCCCATGGCAAATGGTGCCTTTGCACCCACTTCACCGATCTAAACCGCACCTGCCCCAAAGACAGTTTCCCATTTCCCAGAATTGATTTGATCGTGGATGCCACAATAGAGCATGAGCTGCTAAGTTTCATGGATGCCTTTTCAGGATACAATTAGATAAGGATAGACCCAAATAATTAGGAGAATACATCATTAGTAATTGAGCAGGGAACATACTGCTACCAAGTCATGCCATTCGAACTAAAGAACGCTGGACCACATACTAGCGATTGGTGAATCGCATGTTCCAGAAGCAGATCGGCACCTCCATAGAGGTGTACATCGATGACATGCTAGTAAAATCTTTGAAAGTTGAGCTCTACATCAGGCATCTTGAGGAATCCTTTCAAATTCTCATAAAGTACCAAATAAAGGTCAACCCAGCTAAATGCACCTTTGGAGTCTCCAAAGGAAAATTCCTGGGTTTTATAATTAATAACCGAGAAATAGAGGCTAATCTAGAAAAAAGTAAGAGTTGTAATCGACATGCAACGACCCTCTAACACAAGGGAGGTCCAACGTTTAATAGGGAGGATACCAGAATTGAGTCACTTTGTCTCCAGATCAAGCGATAAGTGTCAACCCTTCTTCCAAGTCTTGAAAAAGGCATTTCAGTGGGATACATAGTGTGAGGAGGCATTCAAGGCCCCCAAGGATTACCTCAACTCACCCCCTATCCTTGTGAGTCCTAGAGAATAGGAGATTCTCACCTTATACCTTGTTGTCTCAGATTTCTCAACCAGTGCAGCGCTGGTCAGGGAGCAAGATAGAGCTCAGCAACCAGTCTATTACTGCAGCATAGCTCTAAGGGGAACAGATGAGAGATATACAAAGATGGAGGAGCTATTCTTAGCTCTGGTAACATTTGCAAGGAGACTCATACCTTATTTCTAGGCCCACATAATAGAAATCACCACAGATCAACCAATGAAGCAAGTCCTACGCAAACCAGAATCATCAGGAAAGTTGATCAAGTGGGCAATAGAGCTCAATGAATTTGACATCAGGTACAAGCCCAAAATCACGATCAAAAGGCAAATTTTGGTAGATTTTATTACAGAGTTTACCACAGGTCAAGAACCATCCTTGGGAACAGCCTAATTGATACCCGACCTCTCGACATGAAAATTTTTTGTAGATGGTGCAACAAACGCCCAAGACAGTGGTGCTGGACTGATCCTGACCTCCCCAAATGGAATAGATATTGAATACGCCCTCAGATTCGGGTTTAAAGCTTCAAATAATGAGGCCAAATACGAAGTCATTATCGTAGGGCTCGACATGGCACATTCCATGGAAGCAGAGCAGCTCGTGATTCATAGTGATTTCTAACTGATGGTGAAATAGA